AGCATCTCCACAGATCTGAGAGCAGCTTATCCCATAAACACAGATGAGAAGCACCACCTTGCTTTAAAGCATTGACCGCCCAGCTTTGCATTTAAAAAAAAAAAAAAAGGAAGGTTGTTTTTCTGGGTGACCTTGAACAACGCGGGTTTTGGCAGGGGTGGGAGAACACACCAAGGGGACAGCGTGCGAGCCAGCTTCCACTTCTGCTTCATTTCACTTCGAGACAATGTTTAGTTAGTTTGGATTAGAAACATCAGCTCTGTTTACCATTAGGGGAGCTAAAGGCTTTTACAATGCATTGCGAGTGCCATCTGCAGGTTGAAATACGTACTGGTGGGCGTTCGCATCCCAAAAATGAGGATAAACCTGCCCGACAGGAAATCTTAACAGCGCATCTGATGGAAAAGCTCATAAATGCAGAAAGGCTACAGAAATGCTTGTTTCAGATCAGTCAAATCACAAAACCATTCAGCACAGCGACTGGGATTAGCAGAACTGTTTCTCAAGCATCTTTTCTAATTCTGCACCAGCACAAATGCAGTGATGCTCATTGTGAGCAGAGGAGGATGTCAAGAAGGCCACCCTAATATCCGACTGCCGGAATGCCAGAAGGGAGGAGAATGATCTGTGGCCCCTCTCTTCCTATACAGAGGATAGGAGAAGGGTTTCCAGCACATGCAGCTCAACTTGCTAGCGCTGAAGCATTGGGAGATTTTGGGAACGCAAGCCACTTAACAGAATTTTCCAATTGGAAGGCACACTGGTTTTCAGGATAAAAGCCCTGAATAAGGAAAAGTTAGACTCTAAAATGAAATTATCTTTGGATTTACAATCATAACCGGCTGAACTATCTGATTCACACAAAGTAATTCCAGACAAGCGAAGAGGCTGTCATTGCAGGAACATTGCAGCTACATCCACAGAGTAGTGTTTCTTTGGTGGTATCTTGATAATCTCATTGATAATGCCTGATTACTAAATTTCACCCTGAGGCAGGCACTGTGCCTAACGTTGGCATTTTCAGGGTGGCAGCCTGTGAACAGTATCAGCACTGGCTCAGAAACTGTCACAGGTATATACAAGATAACAACATCCCTCCCAGGAGCTCAGGCTTTTTAATCCAAATTCAAACATTTGCCATCTGTGCGTTCCATGTAGAATAAATACAGCCAGAAAAATTGCCAGAGCATTGTCTAAACAGCAGTTATGAGAGAAAGGGACCCCAAATTATATTTCCTATTGCCCACAATGCAGCGCTCTAAAATCACTGACATTTTCTGAGCACAGCTGTATGCAGGAATGTGATCTATCTGGGCCATGCCCGATTGGATCATTACATCCACATTTATAAATCTGTGAAGTTTCTAATCAGACATAGAGGGAGCACGTTCCACCTCTCAATCTAGTGCCTTGGCAGGTCAGTCAGAACATTTCTCAACACAGCAATCCCAGGTACACTACTACTCTTCACATGCAGTTAGGCAGCATTCAAAAACATGAATGTTTTGCCCACTGTTGAAAATATCAAGAAAACTCATGAAAATTGCTTCTAGTCTGACCTTTGCAAATGCCTTCCTGAAACAGTAGGAGATAAGAACAAATACATCAGAGCCAAAAGAAAGTAGATTTTAGGAAATAAATTTATACTGTATGGCAGGCTAATTTCAGAGAACTGCCAATAGCAAATACTATTGCTTATACTGTCAATCTCACCAGGTATGTCAGTTATATCTTTTATTTTTTAAGAAAAACAAACACAACTCTTTTTATTGTCATTAACACCAGTAATTAACATCCTGATGAGGGGAATGGGCAAACTCATCAGTTTGTTTCAGGATCTCAGCACATGTGCTTTATTATATGACTATATTGGGAATAAGCAATGGCAGTTATCTACCCTAGCCATGGCAGATATTCCCCATCTTGAGAAAAATGATAAATAATTAAACCTAAGTTAGAATTAATTACCAGCCAACTCTAAAGAGTTAAGCATCAAGAAGGGAATTAGGAAGAATAAAAACTGGTCATAATCAGAGTGGGGAGGAGATTTATTCCCCAACCACAAAATTGTCCTCACTAGAAGCTTCTGCAGGAGAACTCCAGGTGTGATAAATTTATGGCCTCGTCTCTTACCCTTGCTATTACTCTTTCCAAAGCAGAGAGTATTATATTCTCAAGTCCTTGACCTCGGATAAAGCCTCAGATCCCTTTCACTTCACCTCAGCACATGTCCCCATGTCCATTTGCCAACACCACATTCCAGTGTCACACTGCAGACAGGCCTCATAAATTAGCAATGGTATTCTAGTGTGAATGCACCAGAGGAAACTATTCCGGTCAAAGCCAGGGGGGAAGTAACCAGGTTTGACTTATGTCAGTTATTTCTAATTAGGAGACACCATAAACTTCATACTCCAGTGCAGAACTGATCGTGACTGTTCACAATTGTCCAGGCAAAGCAATGAGATGCTCATTGATGATATCACATAAGATGTAAAAGAATCAGATTCAGATGAAACTAAGATATTCTATACCCATGTAAACTATACTTTTTCCTCTCCATCCTCCTCCCGAACACCCACCTTCGTTTGAACACATGTGGTCATCCAGTGAACCAGATTTGAACACCATTTGCTCTGAATTTGGCCTCGTGAAGTGAATGGACATGCGTCTACAGTTATTCAGACAGACATGCTGAAATAGTATAGAAGGAGGACTAACAGGGGTTAGAAAACTCTTAAGTGAAATAATTCTGTTCTGACTTACCCTAGTACCTATGCATGCAAGCTGTACATCTGTAAGGTTCCTAAACCTTGATGAGGGGATGTATGTCTAAATTACATCACCCAGTGGAACAAGCCTTAAGTGAGCTGTTGTTTGCATGTGCAGACCAGTTACACACAGCTTGCTCTCATCTCTATTATCAAGACCATGTTATTCTTCTGTCTTTCCTCACCTGTTCTTAATTTGTTTCCTACATCTCCAGTGAGGTACTACTCAGAGGAGGTAAAAAAAAAAAGCTAACTGTGATCCAGAAATGTGAGATGTAACTGGAATTATGAAGCTAATATATCATAGGGAAGGGAGATTCAGAAAATATTAATGCCACAAAGGACATTATATCACCTAGTTTCAGCTCCTGTATATTACATGATCTTCATTTTCATTCGTTACCCCAGTATTGCATCCAATAACAGCTGACCCAAGCACATCTTCTGGAAAGGCACCTAATGTTGATTTCAGCATGAAACCTCCCACTAACTTGTGCTTTTGGATGAGGCCCTGTAGAACTGTGGTTTGCAACCTCCAGCCTAAGGTCCAATTTAGTAAATTTGCAACAGGTAACTCTAGAAATACAAGCCTATTGCCAGAAGGTTTAAATCCACAGGAGGTCCCATAAAATTTTAGAGACCCACACCTCTAGAACTGCTGCTTCCAGGCTGTGTGATTTGTCAATGGTACACAAAGACATCCCATCACAACTGAAAGATAACACTGAAGTTCACTAGCAAGCCAAGCAATAGAGTATTCCATCAAGAGCTGAACATCTAAGAAGAAGGATGTTGGCAAACTGAATGGATCCAAAGAAATAGGTAACAAAAGAGATTTAAGGGGTTAGTTAATAAGAACATGCTAGGATAATTAAATATGTTTAGCATGGTTAAGAGGCAAATAGGAGAAGACATGCTAACATTCTACAGATATTTCAGGTTGTTAATTCATCTCCTTACTTGGCATTTATCTCCTTAAGGGAGATAAATAAGACTAAAGGGATACAAACAAGGTGGGGGCTGGGGGTGGAGATTGAGAGACATAAATTGAATATGAGGGAGAAGAAAAAAAAGAATATCTAGATAGTAGCTGCCATCAGGCAGTGAAATAGTTTCCCTGAGGGCAAAGTGACAGAGATATGTCCCTGTTGTGGGAAACATCTTAAACTAAACTAGGCCAACACATGGATAGGGTACTACAGAAAAACAAAACTGAAGTCTAATGCAATTTTGTCTTATGCCACAGTGGAATATTTGAGCAATAACCTGCCTTGTGTGCATCAGGAAAACAAAGCATTTAATCTATGTAAAGCAGAATGTATCAATCAGGATTTTATCTGAAATACCCAAAGCAGAAATACCTTTACAGAAGATCAATTTCTCATAGAGGATGCTTCAAATCCAAAACAAAAAGTTGTAACATGATCTGACAGCCAGAGCTGAGACTGGATAATTTCTGGCCATAAGATTTTTTTTTTTTTTAAAAAAAAAAAGAAAGAAAGAAAAAGAGCTGTTCAGTCCCTGGAAGAACTTATCAAAGGTCCTCTTTCTTCTAAATTTTATAAATATGGGATGTTTTAACATCTGACAATGCTTTGAGGAAAAGCTATAAGCTTTTAGGTTGAAGCTTTTGGCTTCATACCATAACTCCTGGACAAGCCTTGCTTACACTCTGCTATGAGGAAAATAAAATAATAATAGCTACCTATAATGATTGCCTCTCATTCCAAAACAAACAAAAAACCCTTCCACACAATACCCTGTACTGTCAGAAACAGTGGAAGGGTAGTTGCGCTTACTGCAAACACACTCTAGTGTTTGCCCTGCTTTTTTACTAGCTGCTGCTTTCCACCTTATTCTCAAGGTCCTCAGTTTCCATTGCAGCAGTTACTATTGATTTTTCTGTCACTGTCGCTCATAACCATCCTCCTCTATGTCCCAACACTTTGCATTACTGTGCTGTAAACTGCTTGCAATTTTTCATAGGCTTTGGGACCTCTCCAACCCAATGCAATGATTTTCTCATTGTAAGTCCTACTGCTACTGTACTCTTGCAGTGTGCATGCTAACTTTCAAACCTGGGACACAGCATCCTGGTCAACTCCAAATGTTTGAAGAGAGCAGTGTGAACATATCAGGACCCAAAACAGCAATAGTTTTTTCTCAATATACAAGAAGAGTAACAAAAAATCAAGCCAGAACACAGAAGTGTCTGATTCAGACTCTTACCTGCGCTACTTCTTCAAAATCATCATGTCTTTTCTGCAGCGCACGAGCTCTGTGTAGAGACTTCCCCACTCCTGTATGTTTACTCAAAAACGCTTCCCCATGATTTTCAATCCAGTCCAGTACCTGCCAGAAAAGAACATCCAATTACCTCTCTTGCCTTAGCAACAATGAGAAATTCTCAGGGTAAGCATAACACAGCTGCAGAGGTATTGCTTTGTGCTTGCTATGGCAAAACACATGCAGATCTGTCAAAGTCCATTCCAACTGGATAGAAGATAAATGTTTATAGATGTTACTGGTAAATTAGGATTATTGGATTTTTACTATTCAATTTATTCTGAAGTGTAGCTTAGTCATCTGAGCCTGGCAGATACTAAATATTTACTGTCACATAAATGAATTTTCGTGAACAGGAATCAGAAATCTGGGATCTTTTGCAACAAGAACCCTGCTCTTAAGAGCTCCTTGTGTAAACTGAAAAACAGTGATAACTGATTTCACGTAAACAGCAGATTTCAAAGGGAAGCATCTTAAATGAGTCCAAAAGCATGATGGAGGAATCAATTAAAATTTATTTTGATGTGGGGAGAAAGCATTATCAGAGTAACCAGAATGAAAAGGATAAGAAGCCTTCACTGCAGGCCATAAAACATTGACAGTATGCAGCTTCCAAGTCTTTCAGGTTTTCAGTTTCAAAGATAACTGAACCTTATGCAAAAGTAAATATTCTGAGAGACAAAGAGGATTTTCTTTCAGAAATAGATTAACTGTATGAGCACCATCCATTTGGAGCTCCTTCTCACAATAACACTGGCACTAAAATTTAGATCAAATCCATTCGGTGTCTACTACAAGCTAGAAAAAAAAAAATCGAACTTCACAGTATAAGCTTGGGAAATTTCAGGATGGAACCTCCGCCCTTCTACATTTCTTTCCAGAGATACACAGAGGCTAAGAGAATAAACAGTACTAGATTGGTACTGGTATTTGTGTAATTAGCTAGGACTTCATTCAGCAAGGAGCCCTGCACTCACAGTGAGTCATTGATCCTCACTGCTACTAATGCTAATGGACTAGCAAACACTAGCTGGTATTTCTGTCACGCTGAAGTGAGAAAACACCACAAGCATCCCCAGGACAGTGATACTACCACAGAGTGCTGCACCTGCAAATGGCCTCAGAGTTGCACAGCACTGGGGCGCGAGCAGCAAGCGCGGGCCCCAGCGATACTGGGCGGGCTGCAGCACACCTTGCAACTTGTGGCAGCTTGGCCTGAGAAGGGCTGCGGTGCCAGGGCACAGAACCAGGGCAGGAGAGAGCTGCTGTGTGAGGAGCCGCTTGTCTTATGTGGGGCTGATAAGTGAGCAGATATTATTGACTAAGCCTAGAAACCTAAGACTGGAAAAATGGAAGATGGCATTATTTTATTTTATTTTATTTTATTTTAGGCAAGTAAAGCTATTTCATAGCTTGGTTGTACAGAACCTAAACCACCTGGGCTTTGAGTCTTTTCTGTACTGTAGATCCTGAGCATACTTTTATAAGAAGTTCCAACTACAAACAAAGCTTTATACACATATACTTATTTCCCAACCCTATTTCTTTGCTGGAAAAAAAGCATTTTTTAAATTAATATTTTGTGCTTACAAGGTATTTTTCATCCACAGCATATAAATACTTTCACAAAATGGGGTATCAAAGCACTTTATGTCCTGCAGGGACAAGACATATTTGGCATAAGTGCCACCAGGGGGATGAGGAAGCAGGACCAGGTGTGTTGGCAGTTCAGTCATCGCTTCCTGCTTCCGTTTCTCTGACCAGTTTGTCTCCCATTTGCTCTGGGCAGAGAATCCCAAATACACTCCTTCAAACTGTTTGACAGCCATGTGCCAGCTGGTCTGCTAAGAGCTTTTCTGCAATATATTCTTGACCAGGAATCTGTATATAACTTGTAATAACATTAATTATTAGAGGGTAGCCTTCTAGCATTTGTGTCATCAGCAGTCTGTAAATAATTCTGTTAACATCTTCTTTCCTCCTGTCAGGATTTTTCAACGTATCTATTACAAATGGAACCAGATCAAAACTCAATTTTGAAAAAATCTCATCTGAGGTGGCCTCACTTTTAAAATATTATTTTTGAAATGGCAAATGTTTCATGTTAGTATGTTGTTAGTACACAGTAGTTGCATTCTATTTATTAATAATTGATAGCCACTCACTGTAATTCTACAGCAAATTATTCTAGTAACTTTTTCATGCTTACAGAATTAAAGTAGTAGTCACATAAGAATAAAGTTTTTATCCCAACCAATGTTATATCGGGCTGCTGCAGTCACTGTTAGATGACTGCTGACAGAGGTTGCCACTTTAATTTTATAAATGGATGTTTTCTTACATGTTTCAATTCAAAACAAGAAATATAATATATGCCCACTTTAAACAAAGATAGAGAAAAAAGGCAATGAATCTAGGCCAGAGTACTGGTCAAAATATGGATACTTTACTCTCAACAAAAAAACCAACCGAACAAAGTGTTAGAACATTAATCCATAGGGAATAAACCTTTGTTCCAGGACTCATTGAAGAGCTGGCAACTTCTACAGCAAAGTCTCATGTTGCACTTGGGCAGTTATTCCATACTGCCTGACACAGAAGGGCACCATCTGGTGATTCACCAAATCATTCCTGTAACAAGAAAGCTTCCCTCTGAAGTCATCTATGCAGGTATTGATTAGGTTTCCAAATCCTTTAGTTTATAAGATTAGATATAAAATACCCCTTGAGGTGACAAAATTGTACATCCACTTAATAAATCAACATTACATGAGCATACAAGATTTAAAAAAAAAAAAAAAAAAATCTATAAACCATCCATTAATGACACTGGCTGTAACATCCTATTTGACCACCTCTTTCCTATGCCATTTCTCTGCTTAGAGTGCCATTTCTCATATTTCACAGACCCTATCTGCTCTTTAAAAAGTTTTCATTCAAATCGTTCCAAAAACTACTTCTGCCATGATTTCCACAAGAAACAAATCACAACTTTTTAAAGAATAACTTGCTTAACAGAATTTTCTGTGACTCTGAAACCCATGTTAACATATTTGACCACTCCAGTCTTCAGTGCACTTGTTTTCACAACCATTCTGTGAAATACATAAATGCTGTATTTTCATTTTGCATAGAAGGGGGAAAAATTTTATATATAT